TCTCTCTCTCTCTCTCTCTCTCTCTCTCTCTCTCTCTCTCTCTCTCTCTCTTTCTCTCTCTCTCTCTCTCTCTGTGTGTGTGTGTGTGTGTGTGTTATAAGCTTCACCAACAACAACCCCTATTCCAACCAGATGAGTAGAACCGGACTGAGTCCGCCCAACACCATTTTAGTGCTTTTACCTTTGCAGATAACTCATGGACCCTATGGGACAACGGCGGGAGGGTGCACACAACAGGAAATGCTAATTCTTTCTATCACCAAATGGAGGAGGRTCACGCAGTCTGGCTCGTCCATCAGGAACAGTATGTCGATTACCACTCGCAAGCACTACACCCCCTGCAGAGCAATCTGGCTGGTCCTACCACAAACAATGAACGGACCTCTCCAGAGGATAGTGGCTGTGCCCTCCCATTGTGCAGTGGCACAGGTACAGTTCGGTTGGCATGTACACAGCATAGCCTCTGGTCCGAACATTATGAAGGGATGGTCGCTGCTAGCCTCTCCCACGAAAATTGTGATCCTTTGTCTTGTGCTCATCCCCCCCACCCCCTGATTACTTGCCCAGCATGCCGTTGTGGCCTTGATCTGCCATGCTTAAATAACTGTGCATGTCATTCTTCCATACTGATGGCATGTCAGCAACATGCCATGTGTCGTCAGTGCTTCCAGGAAGCAGTCATAGAAAGTATGTGTCTTTACTGCGTGGACTATCCCCGGTGCCATCACCCACCACATCCTCTCCTAGCATGTCCCACATGCGGTGTTGGTCATACACCTACGGCAACTGCAGAGGGTTCTTCCTCTTCCTTGCCAGACGTGCGACACACACAGCAGCCCGAGGAGGAAAATGGGCCTCTATATGAACCAGCTTCAGAGCGGGGTACAGATCGCTTATCACCATCAAGGCGAGCTATTGTGGACCAAATCCTGCAGCAGCTGAACGCCCTTGCTTTGGACCGACCCTCCCTGTCGTCGTCTGCCCATACAGAAGGAATAAATACTGAGGAAACCCAAGAAACATGCTCTATGCCGCTATGTGATGACCCGCCGGAGATTCAACTAGCGTGTGGTTCACATGCTTTGTGCSGTGAGGATTATGAAGGAATAGTCCATGTGAGTTTCTGCTTTCATACCTACGACGACAGTCAGCACTGTACTCATGTACGGCACCCTGACATGTCATGTCCAATTTGTAGACAGGGGCTAGAACGGCAGTGCCTCTATAATTGTGGTCGACGTGCCTCCGTGTTCCTAGCATGTAGGAGCCACGTTGCCTGTGACATCTGTCTGCGCCGTGCCATTCGATGCAGCAACTGTGACTGCGAAAACTGGATGCGGTGCTTCCGCAGTCCACACCCGAACCGGTCCTGTCCGGTCTGTAGGGATGGTCACTTACCATAGGCAATAACTGCTCCTTGACTCAAAATCTTATGCAACCCAAACACCAACGAACCTAATGTGCTATTCCAGCGGTGAGTGTTTAGAATTCTGCGAAGCCCATCATATACCTCTCGCCTGCCCTACCCTGGCACTCTGCTTTCCCCATACCTCACGTCTTGACAAACTTACCTCCTGTCCCTTTCCCTCCGCCCTCTCCTTATGCGCAACTAGGAAATACATACGAATGAGCATCAGTAAGAGTACAGACAAAGTATAAGTTGAAGATTTGAAGAGAAATGAACAGGAGTATGAAGACGAATATGCTGAAGATCTGAAGTGAAATGAACAGCTGGAGATCTGAAGTGAAATGAACAGCTGGAGATCTGAAGTGAAATGAACAGGAGTAGATCTGAAGTGAAGTGCACAGGAGCATACCTTCCCCTTCACTCTGCCTCTTATTATAACGTGCAAGTGGGCCGTTAAGGCACACGGGGATGTGGGCAGCTGCCGCTCAACCACCATCAACGTGGGCAGCCTTGTACGTGCGAGGCAAAGTGAAAGAGGAGCTGTTGCCCCAAAGAAACCGTAGCTAAACACGGTTCAAAATGGTTCTATTATGATTCGTGCTGCCTGTTAAAAATAATTTTTTTTTTCCCGAATATTTGGATACATGCCTGGCACGTGGTTTTGTGGGGCGGGCTGGAATTGTAGTCGCCTACCCATAACTGCCACAGACAGGACTTCTATGTTCACACCAGGTGCAGCACTGTCGTCCTCTGGGCATACGGCACGGTGCTCTTCTTCTATCCAGCGAACAACGTCTGCGAAATCAGCAACCGAATAAGGGTTACAATTGTAGGCAAGGAGACATGCATTGATGGCATAGTACGCACAGCGGCCTCGCTGTAGCGCTATGACATCGTTGGATTCCGCGGGTTGTGCTGGAGATTCGTTCACAGCAGGAGGAGATTCGTTCGATTCTGCAGATTGCACAGGTGGAGGAGACTCATTGCGGTCTTGACCAATTGGCTCTAGTATGCGCTCCGGAGAGAGACGATCTTCAATCCGGGGCTCCATCAGGTAACCAGAAGACGGGTCAATGTCATTTGGGGCAGGGGAAGAAACGGGGCTAGTTGGATGAGAAAGGGGCGGGTCAGGGGGGTAAGAACTGGGTGGATCAGATGCGGAAAGCGGAAGCTGATCAGCTGCACTCGTGCTTAGAGCGGCTGCCAGTCGTGCAAATGCTGCACAAGTAGCTGCACCTCGTGTCTGGTGCACACGGAGGCCTGCAGCACTGAAGAAATCATCCCCACAATGCGGGCATCGGACTCGGCGTGTACTATTCCTGGCTAGTGTGTATCGAAGGCGACGCTGTCGTTCCGAACGGTTGCGAGCATGTCGGCGGAGCAAGTCTCTAGTAGCCGTTGGAGGCGCGGTGATCAAGCCGTTCATGGCTAGACAAGGGCGCTGTCTTGGGGACGGCGGTGGAGACGGAGAATGGACCCACCGAAGAGGCATCTGCAATGGTTGGTCCAACGTCGTATGCGTCCGCCGACTGGGCCTTTGTCGTAGCTGATCCGACCATGAATGTGATGATGGTGATGATGATGTTGAGGTTGATGACGATGATGCTGGCAGCAACGGCGGCTGCGATAGTGGTGCTGAAGGTGGTGGGGAGGGTGGTGGTGATAGGGTAGGGGGCAGTTGTGGTGATGATGATGGCGGTGGTGGTGGCAGAGGTGGTGATGGCGGCGATGGCAGCGGTGGAACTGCCACCGTATTCGTAGGATGCTGGCCCTCCTCCCTTGCAGCCACTTCGGCCAAATTTGTTGCGATTGGTCCGGTCTCCTGTCGGGTTGGCGTATTCTCATTAGCATTTGGAATTTCAGCTGTGGAGGGCTGATGTTGGTCGGGCTGCGGGATGTGTGTGTGTGCGTGTGTGTGTGTGTGTGTGTGTGTGTGTGTGTGTGTGTGTGTGTGTGTGTGTGTGTGTGTGTGTGTGTGTGTGTGTGTGTGTGTGTGTGTGTGCGCGTGTGAAGTCACTGCAACAACCACCTGTTTACGCTTGCCCTGCGTGCTCTTTCAAAGGTCTTTGTCCATGCACTCCACGCTCCACACATACACAGCACAAATTTCTTCCACGTTCATGCCCTCAGGACAAAGAATGAGCATAGCTTTTTTCTGCGCGCTCTTTCAAAGGTCTTTCTCTATGTTGTCGTTTACACACTCCACGTTCCACACATACACACAGCGCACATTTCTTTCGCATTCATGCACCCCGCAAACACAGTTCTGTAGCTTTCCCGCTAATGCATTTCGCATAGAGCGGTGTTCCTTTTGTCCGTTGCGCAATAGACACAATGCCTCCTCCTCCTCCTCCTCCTCCTCCTCCTCCTCCTCCGTCTTATTCCATTTTACTTCTCGTTTTGGTCGCACGGTATCCCATCCTATCCCATCCCATCCCATCCAATTCTTCTCCCTCCACCCTCCCAACTCCCCCGAGAGAAAATGCTCCCATCCACCTGTGCTGTGAAAAAAGGGACTCAGACTAAAACTCAATAAACATATTAAACAACAGCCAGCTTCAAAAAAAAAAAAAAAAGAGCTTAGCAGCGTACCATGTCGTCACGCAAACTCTGTGAACCGTGCTCGCTGCAACCATTGCGACAGTCAGACAAATTATCACTGCGGCCACAACCACAGAAAACAAAAACGAAAAAGAAAAAAAAAGAGGCACCAAGTAACAAGAAAAAAGTCAGTCAGTCAAAAAAAAAAAAGTCAGTCTCTCTACAACATTCTGTCCGCAGAAGCTGCACACAGAGAGAGGTCGGATGAGAGATGAAAATCACTCTGCACATAATGAATATTCAAGGCAGATTCATTAGCACGTAATCGTAATCAAGGGGACACACACATTACTGCAACCAATGAGAAGCGAAACAAAAATAACGAACGGAAGGAAACGAAATGAAAGGCAAAGAAAAGAAAAGAAGATGAGAGAAAAGAAAGAATGACGACGACGACGACAAGGAGGAAGAAGAAGAAGAAGAAGAAGCACAACCTGACAATTTCTTACTTCTTTTCTCTTTTTGGGTTATACTTATCGGCATACTTCAGTCAACTTGGACGCCTTTTTCTCGACGTCTTTGATAAGAAGACAATCAATTTCTGCCAACTTTAATTCTCAGGAGCAACAACTAGGATGCATTTTTTTCCACGTTTTTGACGAGAGACCATCAATTTCTGCCAAATTGAAATCTCAGGAGCACAAAGCCATAAAACGTGACGATCAAAGTTGACAAAACTTGATGATAAAAGTCGACAAAACTTGATGATAAAAGTTGACAAAATTTGACGATAAAATTTGACGATCAAAGTTGACAAAACTTGATGATAAAAGTCGACAAAATTTGACGATAAATGTCGACAAAACTTGATAGGAGTGAAAACAGGAAACGTAAAGCCAAGCTTAAACCTTGTTCTACTACTTCCACATCTCAGTGTGTGTACTTTTCATCAGCGACCCGAGATTGGTGGTCAGATACTTCAACATATTTTCTAGGTATAGACAAGCCGCATCCGGCCCCGCATGTCAGGCGCACATCGAGATGCACCCTCCCTCCCCGCGCCGCCCCGCACTCACAGATGTCGCACAAAGTCCAAAAGATGGTATCCATTCAATCAACATCTCCTTAGAATTATAAATAAATAATAGAAAATAACAAATGAAATCAGTTGTACCGCTAATGGGGGTTTTGCAAGAGTCACCTCTGAGAGCGCCCCGGGCAGCGTTTGTTTCTTTGGGGAAAAAAAAAAAAAAAAAAAAAGACCCTTACCTTCTGCCCATTTTGTCTTGGCCTGCACTGTTTCCTGGAAATTGCCAATAAACTGCAACCAGGCAAAGAAAATAAATAAAAAAAAGGTTAATCCCTTGAAAACAATACACCTGTGTTATATTTCACAAGCAAGCATGCAGGTCACAACCCCAACAAAGAGTGAAGCACAGCCAAGATCACAGTTCAACTCGAGTTTCCTTTTTTTCCCCCCTTCTTTTTTGAAGTGCAATGAGACCAACATGCATGAACACTCGGGCACAGATCCTGCATCGCACCGCACTCACAGATGTCGCACAAAAAGTCCAAAAGAGTCTCAGTTGTCAACACAAACTTGGTCCTCTTCTCCGTCACCAGTGGCTGTGACCGCTCACCTCAGCATGCAGGTAACTCTCTCTCTCTCTCTCTCTCTCTCTCTCTCTCTCTCTCTCTCTCTCTCTCTCWCWCACACACACACACACACACACACACACACACACACACACACACACACACACACACACACACATCTCACACGTCACTCTGGTCACTCTCCTGTCTCTTATACACATCTAGATGTGTATAAGAGACAGCACACACACACACACACACACACACACACACACACATCTCACACGTCACTCTGATGACTCTCTGAATGTCCTCCAGTGAAGCTCTCGCTCTCCTCTCACAAAATACAGCTATGGCGCCCGGTGTCATTGACTACTGCTCGCGTCTCCCTCTCAGTTACGTCTCCAACGCACAAGACTGTGGCAGCACTTCCGCATCGAGTGCGAAACATTTGGTGTCGACATCCAGGTGCTGCTGGATTTCTATACTTGGTGATCCACCTTCCAGACCATCTCCTGCTGGTTATGGGTTGGTCCCCTTGCCTTTGTTTGCTGCTTCTGGAGGCTTACGGACTCTCCTTGGATCTGGCTGCTTGCGTGGATTGGCTGACACCTGGCCTAACGACTCTGGTGATCTTGGCTGAGGTTTGTGGTGCTTTCTAAAGGTACTCTCTTCAACCCATAACTGTTATCTACCAGGGACTTCCTACCACTATCTACTTAACCAGCCTGCCGACCTTCTTCCCCCGAATACGCATCTTTCAGTCTAAATAATAAAGCTTTAATGACCATATACCTTGTATTCAGGGGAAGAAGGCAGGCTTACGCAATCATGGTTCAAACGAAAACTAGAGTATACATGAATATGGTACAAGTGGCTGCGACCACTAATGGAACACGGAATGGGACTCGGGACTAGGACCTGGGACTTGCAACTGGGACCTGGGACTTGGAACTAGGGCCCAGGACTTGGGACTTGGGACTGAGACCTGGGACTGAACCAGGGGTACTGAGATTTGTCAATCCTTTCAGAAGTTTTCCCCTTTGATTGCATCTCCGTTTTTTTTTTGTTTGTTGTTTGTTCGCTTTGATTTCATCCGTTTGGTTTTTTGTTTGTTTGTTTGTTTGTTGAACTTTGTTCCCTTTGATTTCATCCATCTGTTCCATCGGAATTCGAACTCAGGTCTGTATGTCCGCAGTTCATGATGTACCAACTAAGCTACGCCCATGTTTGTCCTTTCTCCGTAACCGATTCTTTTTTTTTTCATTTTTGGACCATTTTCTCAATCTATGCGAGTCATCCTTCTTTGCCCAGGGGCTATACTAATCGTCGCTCTCTGTATCGGTTCCAATTTTAACGGATCACCCGGACGACTTTCTCCGTAACCGATACACCATACATCGGCCCGTGGGTTTCAGCATGAAACCCGCACCACTTCGAAGGCCGCCGATTTCTTTTCCCTTCGGCACCCCGCTCCGGGTGGCCCCTCCGCGTTTCGCTTGTGCCGACAAAGGCTTTCTGCAAGGCTGGGGCAGCGTACTGGCGGTTTGAACCGGCACCAGTACATGCCGGCCATCGGCTGCAGGCCCCTTTCAGAGGCCGCCCGCCCGCAATTTATTTTAGCGACAGAGATTTATTTTATCGACGGTGTGCAAGCCTCCGGAAATTTACGAGAGGCTCAATTTGACTCTCAACTTGTCTGGGGCCGTGTACTCGCGGTTTAAGTCCTTTTCGGCAACACAAAATTCTACTCAATTTTGTCTTCGTCTTCTGGGGACAAAACTCAAAATTGGCAGGGGCCATCTAATTTCAAAAAAAAAAAAAAATTGGTTTGGTCCTTGACACCTTGTGGAATAAACTTCAGTAAACTTCAACTTCAGCTCACGCTTGGTCTCTCCCCCCAACGGGCAGCAGCGGCGGGCGCCACGTCAAAACGGCCGTTTTGAAATTTTGCTCGGGCCTGTGCGAAACCCGCCACCTCAAAAACCTGCAAGTGTCTTGTGTCTGGACCTCTAGGCCATGTCCAGTGGGGTAAAAGGACACTTAAAAATCACCCCGTTATTTTTCGAGGGGCGGCTAGGACCCGACAAACGTCCTGGACGGCCCCTTTTTTTTTTTTTTTTTGCTCCAGGGGCCTCCATCCGGACATGGGGACCGGACACCGGACACCAGACACCGGACTCTTTCCGGTCCGGATGTCCGGTCGGTTACCATGGTTTTGCTTTTGCTGCTTCAGGAACTTTTTCGTTGAGGACAGTGCACGCGAACGGCAAAAGAGTTGGAAAACACACTTGAGTGGTTTCCACCCTTTTTCTTTTTTCTTTTTCTTTTTTTCTTTTTTCAGGAAATGCAGGCTTGTCTTCTCCCTCATATGGGGGACAGCCGCATTTTAACTAGGCTATTATCTTCTTTCATTATTGTACCTCACACTACCTACCATCCACCCCTCGGGACAAGCCCGGAACTTATTTAGTACTTTACCCTCAGACAGGCCACCACCTGGAACCCGATACCAACTAGAGTCAGCAGAGGCTATAACCTTTTGAGGGGAGAGGGGGGAAGGAGGTGGGGGGGGGGGGGGGGCGGAGGGCCGAAAAAAAAGACTAACGGACCTAGGTCAGTTGGTATATAGTATATACCCATGAACTGTTAAATACAGACCTCAGTTTGAATCCCAATAAACTGGGATGAGTAAATAACTCTCAATTCAGGACAGTCAGTACTTTGAAATTGATATCTCAAGGGCGCCACCCTTTTTTATTTAAAAAAAAAAAGAGAGAGAGAGAAAGGTAAAAAAAAAGGACAACAAAGGAATTCTTGTTTTGATAATGGTCAGATTCAAACCTAGGACCTATACCTTCTTCCCCCGAACATAACACATATGCGTTGTAAACGAATACAACGAACGCATAGGGTGCGTTCTATTCGAATACAACGAACGCATAGGGTGTGTTCTAAATTCCGAATACACTGCATGTGCGCTCTATTCGAATTTTCGAATACAACGCATGTGTGTTCTATTCGAATTTTTTTCTTTCAAATTTTGAAACTCGAATACAACGCATACGCGTTATGTTCGGGGGAAGAAGGTAGTAGCGGAGCTTCTGTTAGCTGGCCTTAAAACTGATGTAGGGCTCACGACTTCTCCGATCCTTCCACATAGCCTAGAGCCCAGTACGACCCTCTTCGCCCAGTGCAACAAACACTTCGACAAAACTACCGTGTAGGTAGCGGGAGGCCAGTTCCAATCAGTTCGGCCATCATCTGGTTTTGACAACGACGCGAAGAAGACGAACTGCGCTACTTTTAGCGCCTGATAGGGATAGAGCCCGCACACTACCATAACTACCGTCTTCACCGGAATAGAACGCCCGGTCATTATCGCCGTATCCGGTGTACCTTTCCGTCTAGATACAGCGATAAAAACCGGGCGCACTGTTCGGGTAAAGATGGTAGGTAGCGATCCCTACCTAGCCGTTCAGAGGAAAACAATTTCTTCACAATTCGTGACCCATCCAGAGGATAAAGGGTCTCGCCGCACGGCACACGAAACGAAAACGAAACGAGTGCATCTGCCCAACAAAGGTGGCAAAATACATTCGTTACTATTTATATAGCAAACCGACGAACCTGGCCATTTTCTGGGGGAAGATACATTCGTTTCGTTTTTCGTTTCGTGTGCCGTGCGGCAACGCCCAAAGAACCAAAAAGAAAAGGAAAGAAAACGAAACATCGTTTACATTACTTCCTGTTTCTTAATTCAACTCGCATTCGCAATTTCGCACAGAATTTCTTTTTTTTTTTTTTTTCCGGACAGAATTCCCACGAACTGTGAATTGAGCAAAACAATAATACGCCGGACTTGGAAATAATAATAATAATAATAATAATACGACGGACAGGTAACTCACCGTCAACAGAAATAGAAAGAGCAAGGAGCTCACGAAACCGCCGAGAATCGTAAACCATTCGGACGATGCAAGCTTTTCCTTGTAGACTTGCTGCGCGGAGAGCGTGATTAGAAAAAGCAAAAAAGAGTAGATCATCGACATTCCCGCAGGGGTGCCATGATCGCGACCTGCAAAGACACAAATGGGTGTAAATTGTACACAAAGACGACCAAATGCAGGCGTGATGAACAAAATGTTTTGTTTTGTTTTCTATCCAACAAATACAAGTCTCCACGAAATACGTATATCGTTTTATTTGAACACTTACGTCTATGTCATTGTATGCTGCAACGTTGAATACATCTTGTCTTGTCTGTCCTCAATTCACAAGTACCCCTATATGATAGAATATCAAATGCACGCTCTTCTTATCCATACTGCCATTTACAAAACAGCACATGCATACACACACAGATCCATCCATATACATAGCAGTACACAGCATCTTCATTCTCGCCGCCCCC